GGGAACCCGGGGACCCGACATATGCGCCTCGAGGTACGTCGTGAGGTTTTAGTGGGTAAAAATCCCACACACCCCCCCTGCCTTCCCTCCGGCAGTTGGGAAGGTCTTTGGAAGATTTCCTCACGTTAAAAAAAAAAAAAAAAAAAAGGGTGTGGGAACGAATTCCCTGCCGGTGGCGACCGATGCGATGGTAAAAGGTGGCTGTAGGCATCACTAAACACAATCTGTTATACACACCTATACGGAAAAAAATCCAAAGAGAAGTCTCGCGTTAAATTAAGGGGCTCAATACTGCAAAATAACATCTAATTCAGTTAAATAAATTTTAAATAATTATTACGATTAATAAAAGATTCGATTTCTCCCTGTACTTTATGCAAGTGCCCCACTAAGTGTGTTTACGTATAATGGAACTTATTTTATCTAATTTCATTTCAGTTTTATCTAATTTTATCTCTTTTAGCTACCAACGAAATGGATTATCGATTAAATCAGTGGAATCAAAGCACATTTATGCATATAATTAGTATAGACAACACAAACATGTCTACGCACAATAACAGCGTGATATCTACATAATTTATCTACGCGACTCATTAGACGAAAGTAGGAGGAACACCACTAATATTTTACAAGCATACAACCCATTTGATAGCTCATTGTAGCCTATAAACGCCTGTAATACCAGAGTTATCACGTGCATGTTGCCGACCCTTAAAAAATTTAATACACTCTTTTTTAAGAAATTCATACTGTAGCCTCTAGAGATCTATGAAAAGAAAACTCATTTCACAACTTGAGTGTTCATGTGAGAAACTATTCTGAAACCACGCTGTACACACACTGTAACCACACGCGACCTAAATGTTCTAGAATGTGAGGTTGAATCTCCTGTTAATGAAAATTAGTGCAATAATAAAAGGTGACTATGGGCATTATTTCGAACAATTTCTTCGAATCCAATTCGTTGCATTAGAATATATTGTCATACAAGGTATTATCATACCTTAGACTAAAGGGCTCGCTACAGCCTTTTAGCATGTCAAAAATAATACGCTTTCTTTTATGATACAACGACATTACTAATCAAATAGCAATTAACAGAACTAGTATATAACAGTTTTAAATATTATTATAGTCAGTTCCTATGAGTACTGACGATCCATATGAAAGAAAGTGGTAACCATCACCATGAACAGCGACATGAACGAAGAGAATTTTTGTGTGAAAGAGTAACAAATGTCCTTCCATCCTTCCATTACTACAAACTTTCCCATTTATAATTTTAAAAGGATTTAAGATACAAAATATCTCGTTGTAGACCGATATGTGTGTTTACGAGTGAAGTCGTTTACTTTGTGGAATAAAATGTACGTATACTTATTATAAATATTTAATCAAAATATATTAATTCAATTCGGTCACTCGTACACACACAGTAATAAGTAATTCATTTGCTTCGAATTTCTATAGCTTTATCTGTTCAATATATTCTGGTTGATAATGATAAAATCCATAGTGATAATCAATTATCACTTACTTTATCGTCGTTAGGTGTTCGTTTATTCCGGTTTGATTTCATTATAAACGTACCGTAATTTACACCATAATAAAAACGTCAAAGTATAAAAGAAAAACAAATTTTTATACATTGAGTTTTGTTATTACAAAAATAACCTGAAGAGACTACAAATGAGCTAGATTTGTTAGACTTTAGAACTTCCTCTCAAATGATATCAGAACGGCGAAGGATATATATATATATATATATATATATATATATATATATATATATATATATATATATATATATATATATATATATATATATATATCTAGCGCAGGAAAGGTACATGTAAAAATAATGTAAATAAATAAATAATAAGTGCATAGTATTATCACGTGCGTGTATTATTAGATTTCAATCTTTTCTTGAAGGAAGTAATGGAGGGACTATTCTGTATGTCAGCAGGTAGCCCGTTCCACAGTTGCGCAGCACGAAATGAGAAGGAATTTCCAAAAAGTACGCCTGGGACGTGAGGAAGGGGGCAAGATTAGAAACGGGGGGCGGAGATAAGATGGATAATTGGTATCATTAAGTATATTATAAATAGTGGAGAGAATGTGCATATAATGTCGAAGTTGGATTGAGAGCCATTTTAACTGAGCACGAAAAGCGGAGACATGATCATATTTACGTAGATCGATGATAAATCTGATAACTAAATTTTGTAGGCGCTCAAGTTTATTCAGTAGCTCCTCTGTCACATCCAAAAAACTAACGTCGGCATTGTCCAGAATAGGAATAGGATAGATTGAGCTAGCATAATTTTGGTTCTGATAGGAAGGAAATATTGAATTCGTTTGAGCGAGTGAAACGAGAAATGCATACGCTTACTAATGTCGTTAACATGAGAAGGCCAAGAGAAGTTGCTGTCCTTGATTAAACCAAAGTTTTTTACTGTGTCGGTGTATATTAAGGGAACACCGTCATATACATGGCATTTGAGACATATCGACCTTGCCTCTAAGCCTACAACTGCCTATAACAATGGCTTGAGATTTAGATTGATTAACAAGAAGGCCAAAAGCTTTAGCCCAAGAATGGATGGATGACTGACCCTTGTTCAAAGCTGTGATCGTATATGTTAGGTAAACTGGAGAGAAATGTCAATACAGTTGAAAATCGTCTGCATACGACGGGAGAAGATATAGCTCGAGAAATATTATTGATAAAGACCGAAAACAATAAGAGAGAAAGGCCATGAGGTACACAAGCAGTGAGCGAATGCCAACTAGATGAAACATCATTCACCTTCACACACTGCTCGCGACCGAAAAGATAAGAAGAGAACCATTCTAATGCAGAAGCAGAGATAATAACAGCACGAAGAACACCAAAGAAGAATATATATATATATATATATATATATATATATTCGCGAAGTTGACTGTATAACCTAATATCTATATTATAAGTGAATGTACAAAAGCATAAAAATAAATGAACAAAAGGACCCAAATCAGTCACTTTCAAAATACGTACTCTCTTTATTATACCATCACATGAAATGATTGAATGATGAAATTTTATGATCGACTAGCTTATCTATTCGACTTCAAAAAGAAAAACTTCTCAATTTGGTTGTACATTTTTTTTATGTTTGTCATCTAATAACTCCGTCAATTAAACCGATTTGTATACCATTTACTTTTTTTTTTATCTGAAAGGATACTTACAAATTTATCGCATAAAAATTTGATCAAGATCAGTTTAGTTTTGTTTTCGGTTTACGCAACAATTTAAATCAGTTTTTTGTGGAACACAATCTTAATTATATTATAAACTAGTGACTCGCCCCTGCTTCACACGGGTAAATAGCTAGATAAATTAATATTACTTATCACTGTTAATAGGAAAATTATTGATACAATACGTTATATTATAGTAATTTTTGTGGGGATCTCTAATTTTCTGTTTATAATACTATTATTGTTTTACTTGCTGATAATTTAGAGTTAGAGTTGAGTAGTTTTTTAGTTTATCCATTACAAACACACACACTTATTAAAAATACAAAATTTTTATAATAATTTCGCAAATAATAAAAAAGTTAAGTGATTTTTGGAGATAATGTTAACAATAATTTACTAATTAAAAATTAATAAAATGTCGATTGTATCGGATTGTCTAAAAAACTGATTTGATTCCGTGAGTATTTTTCAAGTAAACATCACGTTTTTAAATTGTGTTACATTTTCTAATTAAGTTGTTAATATTCGATCCTCTCTGGTTAGATAGATAGATAATTTATTTACTTTATTTACAGCTTACAAATTACAATATATATAGATATACATAAAAAGCGAGATAACATAAATGTTAAAAAAAATACATAAAGCCAAGTACATTTTTTTCTTTTGTGCGTGTGCCGTAACAATACAAAATGGTCACAACTCAGTTTATTGCTCCGCCCTCAAAAGAGCAAAGCACTGATATTCTGTTGCGGCCAAAGGGAATAGAGTAACAATAAAATAATACTACCAGATTATCTATACAGTAAACAAACAGATATGACAATCTATCTAGCAGACAAATGGAGCACAGAGGTAACTTGCTGGAATATCTAAGTTTTGCCTTTGAGTTAAGATTTTTATTAAATTAATTTTGAAACTAGACTTAGTGGCGATCAGTCTTATGGGAGGTGGTATATTGTTCCAAAATTATGTGGCTTGATATGGGAAGCTACTATTAAAAGCTGCTGTTTTATGGGGATGACAAGCTAGAAGAAAACGAGACGCTCTAGTACTGTGATGTAATCTGGTAAATTTAAGTTTAGAAAAGAGGTACTCGGGTCTGTGAAATTTCAACACATCAAAGATGGCCCTCCAAAAGGATAATTACATCTATACCAGAGGCGACTTTGAACAAAAAGTCGTTTGCTTGGACATTTCCATCTCTTTCGTGTTTCTATCGTGAAACATTTGTGTTTGCATGGCTACGTTTCGGTTTGAAGGGCGGGATATGGCACTGAATTTACAGGGTACAAAAGAATAACACCTGAATCAACCTCAGGAGTGGCAACGTATGGGGAGTATCATAAGCGAAACAGTATACTTTGTTATGTCCATGGTACTGCTCATGTCTATAGGCGACGGTTACCACTTTCCATCAGGTGGGCCGTCAGCTTGTTTGCCACTCTAAGTTGCATAAAAAAAAAAAAAAAAAATTAACATGCGAAATAATGACATTTATTTCATTTGTCTACTATATCTATGGTGCTAACAAATAATTAGATGACAAATATTAAATTAATTTAATGAAAAATTAATTGTTTGTGATTCGGCGATACTGCATTTTCTGGTCATCATACATGTCAGTGTATGACGTATTGACGGTAGGTACTTACATAATTCCACTGGACGACTTAATTACAATCCTTTTATCTCTTTGTTGTTCAGATAATAGACCGGTATAAAATTACTATCAAAACTCCACCACACCATTAGCTTTACCGGTATCGTTTCGTGCAACGTGAACTTAATTATTTAACTATATATATTTTATTTAAAATAATTAATACTTCACTGAAGTATTTTCTCTAGCAGTTAAAATGTTGGGTGTCAAATACTTTTTGTGTGTTTTTGCAGTTCTGAATTTAGTTAATATTTATGAAAATAGTGAGTATATACAAGTGAAAATAATTAAAAAATAATTTAAGTAAAATATTGTGGAATTATATGAGGTGAACGTAACAATTGTGTATTAAATTTAATACGAATACTTATAAAATTCGATTTGTATACTATATCGGTAATCCGACTAAATATCAATATAGATAAAGCTTTGGATTGTTGTGATGCAGAATAAAAAAATTGGAGCAACGGTCTATGGTTTATAAAAGAATCATCTTTGCCATCTCTTGTAAACCATAAAATATTCAACGCTAATGCAAGTTTGAAAGTTAATAAATGGTGCAGTGGTCTCTATGTTTGATACAATAAAAACTATTTTATCATTAGTTAAGCCATTCCATTGTTGGACTGAATTCTCTCTCTATGGAACTATCTTAAACCACCCAGTGACTCCCTGCAATACAATTGACACCGTCGCTGTATTTATTTAGGGTCACCTTACACTGTATGTGTGTACGTAAGTGTATGGCGACTTGAGAGTGTTTCTTTCCAATCGAATGTCGGTATAGTCTGTTTTTATAGAACTTAATAAAATGTTACATAAGTAAAATGTTTTACAATTTGACCATATTTTAGCGAATAAAGGCTCTCAATTCTTGAATACTATGTTCTTATCTTTTTACAGCTATGTTAGATGATTACATCGACAATTTTAAAACAATTCCTACAATTAGTTTGACAATCAATAAGTTTTTTTTAATGTTGATTCCTTTTTAATTTTGTGATGATTTAAGCTAATATTTTGCAAAAAATCTAAACTAATATAAAGTCACAATTCCGCATCATGTGTACGTATTTTTAAAACATCTCGTTATTTATCGGTGTGTGTGAGTTCATATTCATGAATAAAGTAGTTCTTTGTGAAACATACTTATTATATATTTTTATGTGTATACTAGCTATGTTTCGCAGCTTTGTCCACTTGTATCAGCATATGAAGCCCTATGTATTAAGTTAGAATATAACTTACCGATATACCAAATTGTATTTGAATCCGTTTAGCCGTTTGAACAAGATTGAGTAACAAATATCCAAACAACTTGACAAAGATTCACAGTTATAGCACTAACTGTGTAACGAAACTTCCGCGTAAATTAGAATACAATATATCCTATGATCGAAGTTAGAATATGTCTATCCGTATACCAAATTTCACCAAACCCATTCTACAGTTGTCGCGTTAAAAGTAATAAATATAGATAGATATATACTCTCTATATTATTCTCTGTTACTATCTCTTATTTAGATTCCCAGAATTAGCGTATATGCATGAGACAGCTGTAAATGTCGTGCAATATTTCATGCAAATTTTAAGCGATATAACAGTTTAGACTTTTTTTTTCAATTAATCTAAAAAATATACAATTTTAATACGAGCGCAAGTAGTACAATTTATAAAATGTTTGCATTCCAAAAATCGTAGGTGGTATATATAATTCTATTGTAACATTCTCGTAGTTATTATTTACTGAGTAAACGCATTTCATTTTCTCGTCACTTTTTTTAATGGGTGAAAATGAAATAATAACCCTACCTGCGCTATCGGTATACGCTAGCAGAACACTAATGAGAAGTGATAAAGGTGAGGATGAAGGCAAGTCAGTAGAGCAATCGTAATGAATTTGTCAAAAATCAACCAAGATAGTTTAAAGGGAGAAGTCGACTTAATAAGGTATATTGCTAGCAACGGCGGTGTATTAACTATACATTCATCAATAAATATATAGTTGACTATAAATATAGTAATGGGTATAGTCAAAGAAAGAATAAATTAAAACGAAATGTGTACAGTACGTAATAGAGCTGGCAGATTGCAAATATAGAGCGAGAATGAGTTGATTTGAATAAAAATGTTGATGTGTAAAATAAGAAAAGGCATGACTTCGCCTCGGAAATGGAACATATTCGGAATTTGGGTAGAATATTTACTCAAAGATTGATAAAATAAAATATAATACGACATTATATATATGGGAAGATGCAGGCATTGAGCCAGGCGTGGACTAACAAAATAGACCATGTGATAATATAATCAATCATGGGACTCCGAAACTAAAGAATATGCACGAGACAATTATGAAAGTGTGATCCACTTTACTACTACTTCACTGTTATTACTCACTTCATTAATAGATGTACAAAATAGTCATTTATAATATAGTAACATGTGATCACACTGTCTTGAACGAAAACAGGGACAATACGAGTATGATCAATGATTGCGATCAAGCGTAAAAGAGTATGTCATACTTTGAATGGCCTGAGGTTTTAAGACAAAGGAAATCACGTAAAAAGCCAATCAAAAACCTTAGGATACGGTTTAAACAGGAGTTTAAATTTTTATACGCGGGCGTGGGCGATGACACTGATCGATCTTTGTGTGATAGTTGAAAGGGGAAGATACAATACAAACATACAGCTAAGTGTAAATAAATGGATCTTACTCCCTTTCAGTGTCACCTTATCCCGGTCGGCTTTCTTTATCAGTCACCGCAAAGCTGTCTAATTTGATTCATCTTTAATTTTCTTTAAGTCGTTGTTGATTAGGATAAACTCCCGTTCCATCGTGGAGAACAATCGTGAACAGCTTGTGTCTGAAATCGAGAGAACACTAACTGGAGTCTCTGATTGGGGACGACAAAACTTGGTCCAATTTAACCCCTCTAAGACACAAGTTTGCGCGTTCACCGCTAAGAAAACCCTATTTGCTGTGGCCCCACAGTTCCAAGGCACATCTCTTAACATCTCTAAAAGCATTGGGATCCTTGGTGTCGACATCTCTAGTGACGTACTGTTCCGTGGCCACCTCGAAGATAAGGTGAAGCTGGCATCCAAAAAACTCGGTGTGCTCAATAGAGTGAAGCATTACTTCACGCCGGATCAGCGATTAATGCTTTACAAATCGCAAATCCGGCCCCATATGGAGTATTGCTGTCACTTATGGGCGGGAGCACCTAGATACCAGCTTGAACCCTTCGACTCAGTGCAACGACGAGCTATGAGAATTGTCGATGATCCCATGCTTGCAAGCGGTATCGAACCCTTAAGTCTTAGGAGAGATTTTGCTCACTCTGCGTGAATCAAAAATAAAAGATAATGCCAGTAATATTCAAGGCTGTTAATTTTTCAATCGTATTTTCTTTTACTAAATATTTATTTATGTTATATATTTATGTATTATTTTACTAAATATTATTAACGTACCTAAATATGACAAAATAACATTTAGCCACTTAATAAGTTCAAATAATTAAGAAGTTGAAGCAAATACGAATAATAAAGAAGCAATTACGTTTACTGAGTTTCACCAATCTTGTAAATACTTTATTATATGATATCAATTTTTTTTTTGCACTATTTCTAAAGTTTCTTAAATCAATATTACACCTATTATACTATATATTATTATATATATATTGTACCTTGCTTTAACCTTGAAATAAAAATGTAATTACTCATACCAAAGGTACTTACATACTCATTGATAATGACAACAAACGTTATCATATCAAGCGAACGTTATAATGAAATGGGAGAGTTAACCTAAAATGATAAAATATTTATTCTTCTTTCATTATGTTTACTTTATTCGTGTATATAATATTGTTAATTTTTTTATGCAACTTAGAATGGCAAACCAGCTGACGGCCAACCTGATGGAAAGTGGTAACCATCACCTGTAGACTTGTGCAGTACCATGGACATAACAGCCCATGATACCCCCCATGCGTTGCCATTCCTGAAGACACAGGTGTTATTCCTCTGTACCCTATAAATTCACTGCCTTATCCTACCCTTAAAACCGAAACACAGCCATGCAAACACAACTGATTCGAATGAGTGAGACAGAGGTACCCAAGCAAACGACTTTTTTACAAAATCTCCCTCTGGTATAGATATAATTATCCTTTTGGAGGGCCAGAGAGGATCGAATGTTAAAAACTTGCCCATACATACAATTATACAGAGTGATAGTAGAAGGGACAGGTTGGTAAAAAGTGAAACTGTGAATTAAGATATTTATTCTGAATTAATAATAATCAGTGGAAATTCTTTACGGAAAATTTCAAATTCAATTTTAATTAACCCTTTCAGAACTGACGTGTACAATTGTAGACATAAAATATAATTTAAAAAATAAATATTAAACTCTCAAGCTTTCCGATTGAAAATGGGTTGTATTCATTTGTTCACTAATAAACTACTCAATTTAATACTACTTACGCCATTTCTTAGCATATTCTAGCGTTTTTCGACAAGTTGCGACTAGTGTCCGTGCGTGATTTGAACTGTACAGGTGAGCTTTATATTTTATTTAAAAAAAATTAAATTAGTGCATGAAATCGTCTGGAAAAAATATAAACGAATATCTAATATTATTGGGGTCATGTGTAACGTAATATTTGTGTATTTTTTTATTACCTTATATTGGTAATCTCGATTTTTATATTTGTGCTCAATTGTTCCCATTAGGATTTAACTGAGTTTTTCTCATTGTTCACGGTTTTTTAAGAAAATATGTTTTGTTTATATTTTTAACGTTTTTCTAATCATGTTTCTAAGATAAATATAAAAAATGAATTATGATATTGTTTACTTATATTTTCAGATGCATAAACACCAATATGTCTTCATCGTTACAACCTCCTCGTAACGCCTCCAGCGTTACAAGCATTAGATGAAGGAGATCTTTCTGGCTTATTATTATCATCTGATGACGAAGATAATTATTATGGAGATTCAATTCGTCCAGCAAATTGAATCTAGCAGCTAATGCTAGAATTAGCGCAGATGTTATTCACTAAAACTGATGGGAGTTTTTTCCACCTGCATTTGATGACAATGAAGGACCTAACGAATTGTATGACGGCGTCCCTGCTTTACTTTGACAATTATTTTTCATCATACCATTTACTACAAATCCTAAAACAAAAAGGTATTATGGCCGCATGCACAGCTCGTGTTAACAGATTTGTTAAACCACCGTTTTTAAGTGACAAGGTAACAAATAAGAAGCCTAGGGGTTTTTTTCAAGAAGTATGTAGCAGAGACGGAGATGTAACTGCTGTAAAGTGGTTGGACAATAAGATTACCCATTTGGCTTCCAATTTTGTTGGTATAGGTAACAAGGACTTAGTAAAGAGATGGTGTAAAAAAAGAAGCGATATATTGAGGTTGCGCGACCTGAGGTCTTAAAGCGCTATAATCATGCAATGGGTGGCGTTAATTTATTAGATCAACTTATGAGCTATTACAGAATATTTATAGAATCAAAAAAATTGACTCTACGTATGATATTTTATGCATCGGATGTGGAAGTTCTTCAGGCATATCGAGAATACTAAATAAATAACGACTTATAACGGCACACCTAAAAAGCAAGGACTTATTTTACTTTCGTCGTCGCTTGGCTGACAGTTTGGTGCTACAAGATAAATGTTCTACCACCAAAAGAGGTCAACCAAGTAGCAGTAGTAGCTCAAGGATGCAAATTATACCAAGAAGGCCAGGAGAGATTCGCCCTGCAGCTGAAATAACTCGTGACGGTGTTGGGCATTTCCCTACACATGACGATGGAACTGGGACTAGGTGTAAAATAGTGAGATGCAAGGGAAAATCCCGTGTAAAATGCAAAGTTCATTTATACCTAACCAAACACAAGAATTGCTTCTTGATTTTCCACACATAGATAAAGTTTTTTTTTTCCTAATTATTGTTCTTACTGTGTTTATGTATTTGTACCAATGACTGATTATGCCAAAAAACTAATAAATATTTATTTTATTTCATAGAAAAAATTTAACTACGTTAATTCATTTATAATTTTGTAATAAAAATGTTTTAAAATTAATATTATTTCATTTCAGAACAACTTCGCATACTTTATTCTTATTACTATGTAGGACGGGTGTCCACATTTGTGCACATTAAGAAAAACTAGATTTCCTCGAAAAATGTAAAGCAAATTTTTTTTTATTTATTTTTTTTATACTCTCCTTATTATACTTTAGACACATGGAATTTACCAAATCCATCGGATGAAAAAAAATAATTCAGTTCTGAAAGGGTTAAAATCACGTAATCTATTTTGTTATTATATAAAGAAATAATAATATTTTATAGTGAAATATTGGAAAAAAAACACAATCTTCGTATTACCCTACCGCGACGTGTGAAATCAGCTGTGTAAGGTTAACACCACAAGCGTACAAAAATTGCCTACAAAAAGTGCCGTAGTCCGCGCGGTGTAGATATATTGCGTGCCTGGAGCGTACATCGTAATATTTTGCATTAATATTATGGCTGTGGTGCATTTCCAATGGGAAAATAATTTGATTCAGATCATTCATCTGAATCAGCTGTTTTCGTTGTGAGCAATTAGCCTTTTCTACCCTGTATAAAGATGCGAGAATTTTAAACTTGAATGAAGCGAAAGCACTTCACTCACTTTCATAATAATTTATCTTATGTAGATACCCACCGGCGTACATACCACGATTCGGAAGATTATAGGATACTCATCGCCATTACAAGTCAACTTTGGTATCAATGTGTACTGGAATCGGGATACCGAAATATATAATGATTATTCAGTGTATAAAAGAATACTTTAATGGAGGAGTCTTATGTCCAGCAGTGGAAAGATAACGGTTAAAATGATGATAATAGTGAAATAAATGTACAATACTTTGTAATATTAAGTTAAAAAATAAAAACGATACATTTTTTTTAATATATTTAATAGATTGAATAAATGAGTAATCAGAATATTCAGTTAAACAAATACATAATGATTTATAACATTCATCATTTATTATTACATTGATTTATATCTAAAAATAAACAAAAATATATTTTCGTTTTTCGTTTTATACATGTGTATATTTATATTATATCATTAAAAAAACCGTTCACAATTCAAACTAAAATAGGTATCTACCTAATCTGGGTATTTTTTAATCCAATTATTGCAACACTGCAAAATAGTGCGCTTTCTTTTAATTAAGAAAATATGTGTCAAAATTCAATTAACCAAAGCAACCTGTGAAACGACGGATTTTTAAATCATATTTGACATTTTCCATCTATTTATCTCTTAAATAGTAGATGATCAATCTAAATAAAATAATCTGTGTTATAAGTTGTGTCTGTATTCTCTGAAAAACCAAATTAAACAAGCTTTTAAACGTTCAATCGCTTTGAAATTAGTTCATCCATTTAGTTATTATTATACTTTAGATAAGCATGTAGATAAAGTTGTCTATTAGTGATATCAAAATGCCAAAAATATAAAGGATGTGGAGTATACCACTAACAAACCTCAAAGATTATAAAGTTTATTAGAGGTATACACCATCAAACAAGTTTTTATTTTTTTCTGTGAACATGAAAATTAATTAAACAAATTTTGTCTATACTCTCCTTTGCTTGACTCTTAGTAACGTACTCGTATATTCTTATTGCAATTCTAAAAATAAGTGCATAATATTTTTTATTTCGTGTGCTATCTTTGGTGGTACCAAAATTACCACTGAAATGACCAAAATTAGGAACACGATAAAACACAGGTAGAGAGAGCTTTTAGCTCACACACACATACATATACACACACATAAACACACACATACACATACACACACACATAAAACACAAAATCGCTTGCTTCACATAGAAAAACGTCATCTATAGTCCAGCATAGAAATAAACCTCATTGGAAAAGAAAAAGGAATTACATAATCGGTATAAATATTGAGATATAATTGCTTAATTGATTGAAGAATGGTTCTTGAGTTTCGACCTCGTATGGGCAAATGCAGTGTAGAACCACCCCCCACTTTGATGGACGACTTCAAATACATTGCAGGGAGTCAATGGATGCGGGTAGCTCAGGACGATTCTCTATGGCAGTTCATGGAGGAGGCCTATGTTCAGCAGAAGACGCATAACGGCTGAGATAATATGATGATGATGAATTGCATAACGCAGCCGACGAAAAAAATCTAATGAATAAAGAACCTTTTCTTGGTATAGATGTCGCTTTTTCAGCATACTCTGTTATGTCCATGGTACTGCTCATGTCTATCAGCGACGGTTTCCATCAGGTGGGTCGTCAGCTTGTTTGCCATTCTAAGTTGCATAAAAAAAAGAATATCTAGACAGGATATAAAGGCAGTCTGCCCTGTCTTCTATCATTCTCAAATTATTGTTATGCTTTATCTTCTGAAGAATTTCAAACAAGTTAGAAAGTAATGTATTTTTATTAATTGTTGTAAAATGTTCACAGCGCATGCCCTGGAGTGCTACGTTTGTCAAGGGTGTACGGAGGTGACAGATGACGACATAGAGACGTGTTCACCTAAAACTACAACTGTATCTACATCAACTACTACTACACCCGAACCCACAACAACGACTACTACTACACCCGAATCCACAACAACGACTACTACTACACCAGAACCCACAACAACGACTACTACTACACCAGAACCCACAACAACGACTACTACTACTACACCCGAACCCACAACAACGACTACTACTACACCAGAACCCACAACAACGACTACTACTACAGCCGAACCCACAACAACGACTACTACTACAGCCGAACCCACAACAACGACTACTACTACTACACCCGAACCCACAACAACGACTACTACTACACCCGAACCCACAACAACGACTACTACTACACCCGAACCCACAACAACGACTACTACTACACCCGAACCCACAACAACGACTACTACTACACCAGAACCCACAACAACGACTACTACTACACCAGAACCCACAACAACGACTACTACTACTACACCCGAACCCACAACAACGACTACTACTACACCCGAATCCACAACAACGACTACTACTACACCAGAACCCACAACAACGACTACTACTACACCAGAACCCACAACAACGACTACTACTACTACACCCGAACCCACAACAACGACTACTACTACACCCGAACCCACAACAACGACTACTACTACAGCCGAACCCACAACAACGACTACTACTACAGCCGAACCCACAACAACGACTACTACTACTACACCCGAACCCACAACAACGACTACTACTACACCCGAACCCACAACAACGACTACTACTACAGCCGAACCCACAACAACGACTACTACTACAGCCGAACCCATAACAACGACTACTACTACACCCGAATCCACAACGACTGCTACTGTGAGTTTTTACATATTAATATTAATCTATACTAATACTGCTGTGTTGTCCCGGCAATGAATGGGCCACCCCTTCCTTTTCCCTGGGTGGTGTGTTAAAACGCGCATAAGGGAACTTAAGGGTCGAGAGATGGCTAGCAGCGTCCCTTTTAAAACATCACTAAAGCCTAACTTCTTTTTTATTAATCTCTACTTTATTATATACATTTTATCACAAAATACAATTTATGTCACATGTCTATTGACTATTAAAAATAGATTGAACTCTCAAAGGAAAGACGTTTTTATTTTTATTTTAATTTTTTAAGTATACTTTGTTCCAGAATGAGAACGTTTTGGTCAGGAGAGTTCGTTCATATTCAAGAAAAAGTCTATTAAACTACAAAAATGAAAATGATATTAATGAGCCCCGTTGCTTTTCTACAGTCTTTGAAGGTGAGTACCAATTATATAGATTTTTGAGAGTTAGCCGGGAGCTAGATAATTAAACCGTTGAAGGTACAAGTAAAAAAATCTGTTAGGATATTGTATTAACAGATAATAACCAATAATAACCATTGCAGTGAACGGCGAAAGAGATGTAATCCGTGGTTGCGCGTACGCATCTGACCAAGCTGAACCTGAACAACGTTGTAAACAGGAAATTGGCAACGAAGACGCGGCCATAATATCTTGTGACATCTGCGAAGGTGATCGCTGTAATAACTCTCCGAAGACCACTATTGGTCTCATGTTTGTTGTAATTAGTACAATAGTTCACTTTTTATAAATATATAAATAACATTTATTTAGTGCATAGTAAAATAGATTTAAACCATGTGCTTATAATTATAAATATTACACTTAACTGTCGTAAATATACCTGTAATTGTATGTGTATATAAAATTTCGTTTAATAATATAGTGTGTATAGTCACATTACAGCCAGTGTGAATAAAGCATCGCATGACTTTGTGTATATATAAAAAAAAAAGCAAAAACTACTGCAATATAAATATTACAATATTACTTACAGAAACATATGTATCGATACAAATATTCACTTTCATATTTCTTATTTGTATATTTCTTTTTTTTATTTCAAATTTGCGAAGTATTATCTCTTAGATGTTCTTGTCTTGATTATAGAAAAGTATCTAATAAAGTAATAAGTAACACAAAATATTCCGTTCATTTACAAAGTACGAACTACATCTAATTAATTAAATATTAAACTAAATAGGTATCGCTCAAGAATAAATATTATACTTATAGATTTTTTTCTTATAATATCACATTTTATAAATTGTTATATGCGTATGCGAATGCGTTGTGTTCTTACAGAAACCATCAAACAGTCTTTTAAATTTAATGGCATATATTAATGAAGTACTAAAACACGAATTAGCATCGCGCTACGGTCATTAGAATAACAACACTATTCTAAACCACGCTACGAATTCTTATACGGCCTTCACTGTCATTAGATAAGTCGAAGTGGATCGCTAATTAAATATAAATGGCAGCTACAGCATTTGAATTTGATTCTAGTTTATCCCTGTTTGAGTATGCAAAAAATATTTAACTATTATAATAATTATCCAGTCAAAGTTTTTGATAAATGACCAAATAATATACTAAAAAAAATTACTAAAATATAACATAAATTTGTAAATATATTATTATATTAAGTAGCTGATTTGTTTAATACTACGATAGTTAAAGCTTCGTACCTTAGTAATATAACTGTACCGAATCCAGATCCCAAAGGATGATTATATTACCAACACTAAAAATTTTGTATGTCGTTATAAATTTCCAACCAACACTCCAGTGGGATCAGTGGATCCAGTGGAAACTACTGTGATTAAATGGACCGAATGACCTGCTTTCATCCCCACCGAGCATCCCTCACTGGTGCCTAGCTAGCGTATAGTTTACCATTCCATTATTATGTTCAAATTCTCCAATGAAGGGAAATATGTTAATTTTACTAAACCAAATTATTTCAAGTGTTGGCGGTAAACTCGCAGCGGTGCCATGTTGAATTTTGTTATGCGTGGCAAAATGTAGAGATAAGGGAGGTTAAAAACCGCGCTGTATACGAATCATAATAGAAATTGCTTTGTATAACCCGTCGATGTAAATAGACTAGTCCTATTTGTATTACGCCTTCGACACGAGAGACCTATTGAACTCGACGGATTATATGAAGCAAATCCTATAATAATTCATATAAGGTGAACCTTTTACCGCCTAGGAGTACATATTTTATACAAAAATATTATGTAATAAGTTATTATTATTAATTAAGTATCAACTTAATACAAAAAACTTTTTATTTTTATCGTAATTTTTCTTTCATTTTTCTTTTTGCAAATTTTTGACAGTAATATAATAATAAAAATTTATAAATAGTGTAAAAGTTTGAAATTGTTTAAAATCATATTTTTCTTTTTATAATTATTTTCCAATTATTTATAATACGTAATATTGTAATAGTAAATATTAAGACATAGTATTATAGATAGCATATAAGGAGTGATCGTAGTATTATTATAATATTGTAATACATTTTATATTAAATGGAAATGGTTTATTTTTTATTACTTATTATCACCCCAGTAATATAACGTGGCAAATAAGCTGTCGGTTTTCGGAAAGTTATAATTACTAATTATCACCTTTTATGTTTTTAATGCATGTTGATTTCAAGGTAGGAGTATTGATAATAATATACCTACATAATGATATTAATAGACATAATCAGATTTTGAAAGCAATCAGTAAAAGCTTATGCGATCTTTCCTTGGATGAGTAACACAGTTAAGATTTACTTTTCAGTGCTCTCAAAGAATCTATAGATTAAAATTGAAATAATAATAGAGTATATACAGTATAGTGTTCTTACAAAAGAGTACTTATTCTTCAGAGTCAGCAACGCGCATTTGACACCCTTAATGTTGTAATTGCCCATAGATTACAGTGAACGTTTACCGTTAGACGGATTGTTTGTTTGTTAGCCACCTATAAGGTATTAAAATAAACTTAATTTTCTTCCATTAAAGATAGTGTTCTCCAGATAAGCTAAATATTTTTCGTAAAGAAACACGAGTAAAAGTCAGGTGGACCTCCACGTGGTCCCCCCTGGAAACTATCGTAACTAATTTATCGTTGAATTCTTCACGATGGACTGACTGACTTGCCTTTTCATCCTTACCTATCACCTGTCACTGGTACCCCGCCAGTGTATACCGATAGCGCAAGCTAGGTTATCATGCCATTTTCACCTATTAAAAAAATTCCTTAGAAAAACTGAGGATAAATATTATTTCAATTTCACCTTAAAATCTTTGCACTTGTATAGACTCGATTTATTACTTTTTTTTTATAATATGTTATCGTTAATGAGCTGTTTTCAACGGACTTATGAATAACTATTCTAAAGATATGGCCACAAATATGATTTAACTTAGTGCTTATCTAAAGATAAAGCGTACCTAATTTATTTCCAAGAAGCTATTAGTGTTGATACCTATTAATAGATATGAAATATATTTGGTACTTAATTTATAATTTAAAAGAACTGTGCATGGCCAAGTAATAGTAATTAGTTAACAACATACTATAACACGACACTATGAACAAGAGACTTTATACAAAAGTCGTTTGCCTCTTTCTCATTCGTGTTTCAACCGTGAAACAGTTGTGGTTGCATGGCTGTGTTTCGGTTTGAAGGGTGAGATATGACAATGAATTTACAGGGTACAGAGGCATAATAGTCCTTAGGAATAATAACGTATTGGGGGTGTCATGGGCGAAACAGTATACTCTGTTATATCCATGGTATTGCTCAGGTCTATAGGCGACGGTCACCACTTTCTATCAGGCGGCCAGTCAGCTTGTTTGCCATTCTAAGTTGTATAAAAAAATATTTTTTTAAATTTAATGTACTAAGTATATCTTAATGTATCCCTTCCATGTATTTTTAAGATGGATGATTATGGAATGATAACCCCATCACGCTATACACTGACGGCTCATCAATGAAAGGTAAATAGGTGAGGATGAACGCAGGTCAGTTAGCCCATCCTGACAAATTTAACAAGTAATACCCACAATAGATTCCAGGGAGAACTGCATGGATGTTGGCCTGATAGAATATATTCCTAGTAATGTATTTGTTACATCTCATTACTACATTACTAACAGTCCTTATTCCCCCGTACTTGTATGGATTTTTTTTGATGGATGAAAATGGGATGGTAATCTCTGCCTGCGCTATCTGTATATGCTGGTGGGGCACGAATAACGGATGATAGAGGGAAGTGGATTATAAGTGACGGGGACTAGCGACCTCATTACTAGTGATATACCCCATCAGGTCGACCTCCACGCAGTTCCCTCTGGAAACGATCTTTAATTCCCGTGGAATTTGTCACGATGACCTAACTAACCTGACACCATCCTTATCTATCATCGCTCACTGGTACCTCGCCAGCATATAGCAATAATGAAGGTGGGGTTACCATTCCATTGTCATCCACAAAAATATTACAGATGATAGGTGAGGATGAAAAGGCAGGTCTGTTGTATCGTGATGAATTCGCTAGGAATTAAGCACGATGGTGTCCAGGGGAGTCACGAGGAGCTCAAGCTGCCAGGGTATATTGCTAGCAATGGGGTTACTAATCCTTATTTGTAACAATGTCTTTCCCTCCTTGTACTTGCATGGTTATTGTTTCAATTTGAACACAGAATATCTTTATCTTTAAAGTATCTTTCAGGATGCATTTGAGCTACTATTACTCTCAACCAATTATTATTAAAATTGACATAATCTTAGTATTAGGATGGATAAATATTTTGATTCTTTAACATATTTCAATTACGCGGACAAAGTCGCAGGTAATACGGAAGGAACTGAAAGTAAAGACTAATAAAGAATACTGTTGTCCGAAATAAAAAATAGGTAATGTTCGATTTTTAAACAAATTTCTGGAACTCACTTACCGAAGATATTTCTCTACTATCTATATATTCATACTATATATTTACTACTAAACATATTTTTAGGAAAAAAAATAGGTGCATGAATATATTTCAAGTGTTCTTGTAGTACAGAAAAGTTGATCAATATATTATATTTATCTACTTTTATATCTAAATTATTAATTATTGTGTATATTTTTGTTATTGTATATTGTATTTTTTTATACTAAATCGCATTCGAGTATCTGCACTTTCTAAAGGTTAGTTGGTAGAGAAAGTCACTAGTATTAATCCCGCCTTTTGTACAACGTTTTATTAGTCAACTTTAAATTAATAAATAATCAACTAACAATGTTAATAATAATCATTATTATACTGTTCAATCACTATCTATGATTCAACTAGTGACATATTTTTCCTGTATCCTTATTTTAATTCGATTAACATAAACTATGATATACCTTCTTGTACACATACTATCGCTACTGTTTAGCATTCAATAGTGATATATAGGATTTTTGAATAACGTTATGTTAGCCCCTTAAAAAGCTTAAATTTCAATTCAGTATTCATAATCCTCATTAATATTATAAATGTGAAAGTGAATTTATTTGCCATTTTTAATACCTTGAAGATTGATCAATCATTATAAAATATGTAGTAATTGATATCAACAAAAACACAAGGTACTTTTATATCAGTTTAGCAATATATTATATTCACTTCACTATTGCAATTGAAATCATTATGCATACTTTTAAAAGGATTTTCTACGAGTAAAACTTTCAAAACACACTAGGATTGAAAAGCAACCAAAAAATTTATAACGTACCCTAATGATTTTTATGTGTTTTCACCCTAAAGATTTTTTACGTTTGCTATCATTACTAACTTATATGGTAGAATATTAAAAAAAATCAATTTCATTAATAGAACATTCTTAAAATATTTTTTTAATGATATCGAATGTAGCCTGTATAAAAGAGCTGGAATAATATTTCCTCCTGGCAATTTGTTTACTTCAAAAAATTATTAAAATATAAATCATATTGCAATAATTGCTACTTGATTGAATATTTCGTAGTAGGCGCACCTTCTTTTTGATTCATTTTGTATGTACTTGTTCTATTAGAAGGTACTCGTATTTCTACGAATAAATAATTGTATCTGTGTTTATTTTAAATTTATTATCTACACATTGAATAAAAGCCACATTATTTTAACAGTTTTTTATAACTTGAAGAATATAATCTCTTTTTCAACCGACTTTCAAAAGAAGGAGTTCTTAATTCCGTTGTATTTTTTTTAAGTTTGTCACCTCAGAACTCCATCATTCATCATCATTCAACATCATCATCATCCATCGTTTTGAATTGTTTTTATCTGAGAAAGTATACTTACAGACTGACTCCTATACTATATAGAATTTTTTATAAAAATTAGTTTAGTTTTAAATCAAAATAACTGGTTTTATCACAATTGAGGTCGATTTTTTTTCCGGCACAATGTTTAATTATCTTATACCTATATCGTTAAATATTTGTATAGCTAGTCATTACGTATGATCAAAACAAAACCACGACGAGACATAGGTAGGTTTTGTAATCAAGTATTGATAAAGCGTTATCATGTCGCTATGTAATTCACATCATTAATTGTAGGATGTTACCCGTCCATAAACAAAAAGAAAAATAACCTATTAGTAATTTCATAGTTTCTTGTGGCTATGGCTTCATCTAATTGAGTTATTGCCGCAATGTTTAATCATGCCTTAAACATTATTAGGTAGGTAGGATACTTACAGATTTTTATCATAGAAATTATATCAAAATCGGTCCAGCTGTTTAGTTTTTAAATTAAAAGAATTGGTTTTGCGACAATTGAAGTCGATTTTTCTATGGAACACAATATTAAATTATTCAGTAATTCTTTTTATAATTAATAGAATTTCTTCCAGTATTAGTTTGTGACATAAAGCGCCCGTTTTACATTGCAGGCAAAATCTTTAATTATTTAATTATTCACGCGCTATTTCCTTTCGATCACTACTTTTTGTGCTAATATTGATAGTGACACTACATAGTTCCATAACTCAGATGCAATGCGCTCTGGTGGTTGTATATTTTTAGGCACATTCAAGTATGCTGACTGTAGTAAAAAGTGACTAGGTGTTCCTTACAGCACTTTTTCGTGTACTCAATATGATGCCTACAGCCACTTTCTACCATCGTACGGCTCGCCATCAACAGGGAGTTCATCCTCATGTCCTACAGCCTCAATGGTCGCGTACTGCGCGGTTACAGAGATGTTTCCTCCCACGAACACTCAGGTTGTGCAATGAGCTCCCTGCCGAGGTTTTCCCAAGAGACTATAGCATGGGGTTCTTCAAAAAGGGGGTAAAGAGGTTTTTTCCGGGTCGGCAACGCACGCGTAATACCTCTGGTATTGCAGGTGTTCATAGGCCATGGTAACCACTTACTGTCTATGGTACTGCTCATGTCTATAGGCGACGGTTACCACTTTCCATCAGGTGGGCCGTATGCTTGTTTTCCACCTCAGTGGTATAAAAAAAAACTCAAATATTATTTAGTATGTAAAAG